AAAGTTAAGCATATAAGAACGAAGCCGAAGACCTAGTTTATGGGCTCATAAAATATTTTCATCATCTTGTAAAGGGTATGCGCTTAAAGGCAATTGTGCACAATAGTACATAGGACCTAAGTATAATCTACACCCTTATCGAAAGAATTCGCCTTGATAAGTAGTAAAAGCGCAAAAGAAAAGTTTCTCCCTGCGATAACACTAAATTTTGCACACAAAATTTTTTAGGTAATACTGCTCTTTGAAATTTGTCTAAGTTTTAGTAACAATACGACAACATATGTTTAGCTATGAAAAATTCACTAATCATTTCAAACTACAAGAAAGTTTTTTAGTTTATTTGTGCTGGTAATGAGGTGTCAAAAAAGACGTTATTTCCAACCAATAAACTTTATGATTATTTGAAGTTTTCTTATCCGCATATTCTAACGCCATTTATAGGAGCAATCTCAGTCATTTGACGGCTAGAGAATTCAAACAGATTCACAAAAAGAATGACTACCACTAGATCATGCTCAAGAAACTTAGCGAATATTTAAGTCGCGTCCTCTGACAGCACACCTTTAATGATTTCCTTAATGATTAATATTTACCTTGGAAATATGTTGTTAACCTAGTGAATAAAATTAATTCGCAAATAGCGTGAAGCAAACAGTTGAAAGTTACAATAAATACGTTTACTATGATTACTAGACGGCTGCTAATACGCTATAAGGTTAAGGAACGCCGCGCAATCAAGTGAAGAATCCTGAAAAAGCAGTTGCCCACGCTCGATAGAGCAAAGTTTTTTACAATTGTTATCGACAAGTGAGGGTCTGAGAGCTGCCGTCGCTCTTATCATTGAACAAGTCAATGGTGCCCAGTGCATCGACTTCTCGACTCCCACATGGGTATTATCCTGTCCATATTTTGTCCTCCAAAAACAAACCAGGTTAGAACTTCAGCTTGAAACGAAAATGTAAGCTATCGATATATAACATTGCAGATTCCAAAAGAAAAAGAAATTGTCCGTTTCTTCATGATAGGAACGGGTGCAGCGGGAAAAACAACAGTTGTACGACAGCTCAAATGTCTATGCAAGGAAAGGCCAAAACATTACAAGGTAATTACCAGACTATTGGGAAACGGTGATTTTTTACTGTAAGTTATCATCATTTGACAAAATCCGACTTTTTTCTCAAGATACTTCTCTACCATTTCATAACCTAGATGAATCGCTGTGACACATCCTCCTCTTGCGATTCGTTCTTTTTTTTATTTTTACAAGATTTCTTTGGAGGAAGAATAGGAGTTTTTCTGCTTTCGAGAAGTGAATACCAAAAATAAGAAAAACGCACGTGTATGTTTCATACATCTGCAAAAATTGCACGAAGTTTTTCAGGTTGATACTACTAGCAAATAGAGCGTAAAAGCGCTTCAATACGATAAATGAAACCAATAAAATTACACTGAAGAAAAAAAAAACAGAATAATCAGATCGTAGATGCAAAAACGGAAGCTGGCAACCACATAATGTTTTCAACAGTATACAAAATTGATAAATTTCCACTCAGGCTTACGATAATGACTGGAACCTGATCCAGCCAGACAACATCTTCACCGAAGAGGAGATGATGCGTTTTCGGAAAATTATTCGCATCAATATCGCGACTGCAGTCTACAATCTCATACAAGTGAGATCGTGTTCAGGTGTTTCGCAAAAAGATACTAGTTCTAGCATTTTTAGCAAACTTTACAATGGGGACGCCAATGTAAGGCAGAAGAAAGTGCCCAGAACATCATCCAATTAGTTGAAAGAGCAGAACTTGAGGGGAGGGGAAAATTCAATATGAATATTCCCGTATCGATTGGCCATGACTTGGTGGAAGTTCTAATGGATCCAAATGTAAGCAATGGCCTCTTGCTGCTGAATAATTGTTTTCTTTTTTAATACGCTGAGGGCCATGAGAGTACATGGTGCTCTCAACCCGTTATAGCTTCTCTAAATAGAAGATGTGAGCAAAACGTTTAAACGTAAGTTATTGGACTTGCTGGGTCCGAGTAGCATATCCATATTGCTCAGTAGTGCTTACTGCAGGGGTACGGTAAGTGCAATATTTGCAGTCATTCATTCTTGAGAGCTCCCATACTCAGGCTAACTGGTGTGCTGAATTTGAACACTATATCTGTTGGTTCAGTGGCGTCTTTTTGCAATTTATTTGAGGTTTAGACCTCCTCGATATATTGCCGTAACTTGATAATAAGAAATTCAGGGGAAAAGTTAATGCTATTTTGAAAATCGGAGCACCGAATGACTACCAATACGTAAATTTTGGAGATTTTAACATGACTTCAGCAGTGCTCTCCTAAGACACTACTGCGCACTATCGATATGTTAATTAAGAGAAGTAATTAAGTAGAGCACCAGGTCTAGCGGTCGTCAATATCTAAAAAAGACAGACCAGAAACTCGAAAAATCATGACATGACATCTTCGTAAAAAACATCTCCTTTTTCAACAATATATAGTTTGATCGTGCGCATTCCGCTTATTGATAGGCTTCAATTATTCTTGAATACACAGAAATTACATCAAGAGAAGACGTGAGTTAC